CATTCCTTGCATCTTCTTTCCCAGTTGGTCAATGTAAATACTGTGATGTGAATGTGCCATACAAGAAAGAAAGAAAGAAAGAAAGAAAGAAAGAAAGAAAGAAAGAAAGAAAGAAAGAAAGAAAGAAAGAAATGTAAATACTAATGGCAAAGCAGCCTTCATGTCAGTATATTATGTGTCCATTTCCAGATGTGATAGTGTAGGCTTCCAAATTTGATCAATTCTGTATGTGTTGAACTTCCACTTTGATGGCCATGTTGGCTGAGATATTATGCAAACTGAAATTTCTAACATATCTGACGGACACGCTTGAGAAAATAGTGGCAGTGTAGAGTTGACATTCATACATCTGGGAGGAGAATTTGTCCGTATTTCAAGATATCTTTCCCTAAACCGATGCCTTTGAGATATGTTAACCATAATTCCCTTGATCCTTAATTAGTAATGTTGTCTGAGGAGTGGTGGGAATTGTAATCAGATATAATCTGGAAAAGCAGTAAACTGGGAAAACCTTCTGCAGGAAGCATCCCAAGTTGCTCTTTATTCTTTTAAAGTGAAATCTGGAAGAAGAACAGCATTACAAAGCCCCCAAAATGTAAAATCCATATAAACATTAAGTAGAGAAACATTTTGCCTCGATTGCTGCTAAAATGCAGCTGAAGCAGTACCTTAGAGAAAATATGTATAAATCTTTATTGCATGTTTGTCCTCTAAGTTTTAGATTCATCTAACCAACCTAGCTGGTTGTCTGAAATCTGTGATGATTTTATGAATAGCAATGCCAACCTCATATAAGAATCATTATCAGAAGACTTTATCAAGTGATAGATGAAAGCAGGACAGGTAATAGAGGATAACATTCAATTAAATGGCTGCACAGAATATAGCAACAACATATATGTCAGGACAAAATGTTCTCAGTGTGAACAAGTAGCTTATTCATGAGTTGTAGCAGAAAACTAAATTAAATTCATGTGTTTCTTCAAAGGACCATTCAAAGATTTTAGACTGTTGAAAAATATAGGGTCCCAAAAGTAAAGTTTATTATTGTATGTAAAGACAGTTATTTAGAGAAAGGAAAAGTACCGTAGTTGGCACAGGACAGATTAAAAGAATGAAATAGGATGGCTAAGGTAAGTTTGGGCAATGTTCAGAGGAAGCAGCATCTTTCATACCGAAACCATTTTCAGACCCAACCCATTATACTACTTGTGTACATTTTGTGTTTGAAAAGTGTCTGCTTTGGCACAGTGGGAGCTCTGGCAACAGGTGTAATTAATACAAACTGGGTAAAAGGAATCTGAGTTGAACCTCTGGGCCTTCAATGCTGAAAAGTCTTTGGCCTGGAGGTTGATGGNGCCGTCGGCCAAGCAGTGTCGGCTGGTGACCCCCAGGGGGAGGGCCTTCTCTGTGGGTGCCCCCACCCTCTGGAACGAACTACCCCCCGAGATCCGGACGATTCCGGATCTCCTATCTTTTCGCCGCGCCCTCAAGACATGGCTTTTTCAGCAAGCGGGTCTGGCCTAGGGAGAATTTTAAATAGGGACAATTTTAATTGAATTTTAATGGTAACACAGCGGTTAAATATTTGTTTTTAATTGGTTTTTATTGGGGATAGTGTTTGTATTGTTTTAATATGCTGTAAGCCGCCCTGAGTCCTGTTGGGAGAAGGGCGGCATATAAGTTTAATAAATAATAATAATGGTTCCAAAACAGAATATCAGCTATTTTGAGAGTAGATTTTCATGGAATACTAAGTACAGTTTGTGTAGATCTGAAATAGAAAGCAAAAGAAAGTAGGGGAAAACTTTATGAGCAAATTTAAGACATTTTGGGGTGCTGTTTGCTGTTGATGCTATTGATTTTCAATGACTGAATAGCATTAGTGCTATAGAAGATGAGAATAGTGTAGACCTAGAATCTTGTTTGTTGTGTGCTGTTATTTTTTTATAAGCATGAAAACTCTTGCAAAAATTGTGAGGATACTTAACTGGATATGTTATTGCAAAAATAATGAATGTTCAAACTTTGAAAGTACTAGTCAGAAGTCAATGTAATTTGGGATAATATATATTAAATCTAGGAATATACTTCTAGTACTTGAAGTCCCAAAACATCCAGATGGTGCAAAGTTGGTGAGAGCCAACAAAGATTTATATAAATATAGATTAAAACAATTCAATACCTTCTCTATCAGTTTTCAATATATTGCTTAGCCATGTTACATTTTATTATAGTTTAGTCAGCAAATCATGGTTGTTCAAAACACATTTACAAGTCACCTAGCTTATTAAGCCAGAGTCTAATTAAAACAGTAATACAAAGTGTGATGAGTTAATTCCACTAAGATTTAGAGGTTTTTTTCACTGCTGTTCATATTGAGCAGGCATTTTTGTTATCGCATGTCCCTGGATCCTATGTTCTCTTGTCTACTAGTACTGATTTTCTTTCTGAGTAGAGATATACCCTCTATAGTTATACATAGTAGTGCCAAATGTAGCCTGTCAATGCCTCTCCAGAAGTTGCCATCAGTGTACAATTTTTAGCAGAAGGATATTCTACCTTGTATAATTTTATTTAACTTTACATTTTAATTATGTCATTTTTTTTCTTGGACCCATCCTTTTTATGGGAATACCATCATTGATAATGTCATTCAAAGATCAACTGTGGCCCTTAAACCTCCTGTGAGAAAGACCTGGTAAGTTTTTACAGGAAGCACAGGACTAGACTATATAAAATATGATTTTAAATGTTTAGGCTTAGTGCTTACACATGGTTTATAGCATTTTCAACATCTTGCTAGACTCTTTTTCTATATTAGCTTGTAGCCAAATAAGCATTTTTCAGGTTTCTTAGCTTTTGTTTTTTGTTTAAATGAATAGCCCTTAAGTTGTTAGACTGGGTGATTACTGTAAAGAATGCCATTAAGGATAGACACAACTCATTAACCTTTCTGACAGCATTGCTTTAAAGACCATGCTTATAAAACATATACAGTAGTTGCGTTATGACATCTGAATATTCTTTTATGTTTCACCAGCATCTAGCATCTGTCACTCAGCCTTGAAGGAAAAGTGCACAAACTATAAAGAATATTGAAATAAGTCAGATTTTTGGAATATGCCTGTAGATATTCAGTGAAATAATAAAGATATTTGCCCACTTAAGCATTGCAATTTTCTCTTGTGATTAGAAAATTTATGATTGTTCAGTATTGTATAGAGCGATAGCCTGTTAGATTTTGGTTTCTCTGTGTTGGGACCTACATATTTTGCTGTATGTTCAAAACATACTTTAACATCTTCCAAAAGCAATGGGAGCTCTTTGTGGTATATTGATATTCCTGAAAAGAAATATTTAATGTCCAGTACTGACCCTGGAAACATAAATATTTTTGTCTCAACCTGTGCTCTTTTCAAAACATCAGGAAAAAAGGTTTTTTTTTTATCACGTTGGATAAGTAAACGTATATCGGAGTGATGTATACAGATCACATCACCACCGTCACACGTTAGGTGTCAGATCATAGATTTCAAGAGATCTTCTCTAGTCAACCTCTGGATACTATTTTCAACAAGGAAAAGACGTCGAACACAGTTTTACTCTTACTCTCCTCTTTTATCTTCAGATACTTTCTCTTCGTTCCTCCGAACCGGAGAGAAGAGATTTGTTTCAACTTCCTCCAGTTATACACACTGTGTTACATCCAGCAGATTATGCCCAGGTTGACAGTATCCCTCAATAGCAAAAATAAAAGATTGACCAATCCTGTTCTAATATCTTACATGACAATAGGACACAGAATAGCACCTCAATGTGTAATAAAGAACTGGGCTTTTTCGAGACTCTTAACTCTCAACAAGATGGACTGGAGGTAGATCTTTTGGAGGTGCATTTTGGGCAGTCCAGATGGAGACTTCAGAAACTGACACCCACCCCTTGAACACAACATTAAAAGAGAAGCTTTCATGTCAGTTTTGATCAGCTAATTATTAGTCTCTGAAGCACAATTTGGAACAGATTACATAAATCTTCTACCATTACATAGTCATGCTAGATAATTAAGCAAGGGAAGGGGAAAGAGTTTTCAGTCCTTTAGAATTGAAGATAAAATGTAATTTGATATGCATATTAATGAGAAAGGAAGATTATAATTTTGTTTGCCTTGAAAATAAGGGAAAACAATCCCAAGCCTGATCCTGGAACACAACCCACATTTTCAGGTTCCTAAAATATAATTTACAACCATGAGCCTTGTATTAGCCTAGTTTACATCCAATCATTGGATGTCATAGTATAACAATGATTTCCTGCTCTGTGTTTAGTTTTAGGCACAGTTTCAGACAAAGTTAGTTAAGCATATGCTATATTGAGCCAGAGAGAGAGAGAGAGAGAGAGAGAGAATGATCTGTTTTCAGTACAGTGATAAGATTGTTCTTGTGTATCTAGTATTAATAGAAAAAGCCAAAAGGCTACTAAATAGACTTTAAACATGTATTCATTCCTACATTGTTCCTGAAATCTGTGGTTTAAATTTGCGGACTGGAACATAATTGGAAACTATTATTTTAACAGACTGAAAAAATAAAAATTCATTGGCCGAATAAAGCTGCCAAGATACTGTCTGTAAATAAGATCTCATCTTTAGCTATTATGATGATGATGATGTTAATAATCTACATAACTGTACTAAATTTAAACCATCTAATATTTGATTTTCAGTTATTTGGAAAGATTTTCCCACTTTTTTTAGAAGAAAGAAATAGCCAGTTGAACTGTTACTTATATTGTTCAATGCTACCAATTATTAATGTATCCAGGAAAATCTGAATCATGATTTTAGTTCCCTGTGGAAAACAGTCTCATGATTTTTTGGCAGCAGACAAACATGTAGGATCTTAGTGTGTTCTAAAATGAAGATAGTAGTAGGCTGGCGTTTTTCAGTGTGTAGCTGGGTGACTTGGTCTGCAAATGACTAAATGTTCTTTCTGTTTCAGGGACAGAGGTCATATCCCTTTTAAGTTCCCTTCCTGCACCAGGTAAAGTAGCTGTGAAGGTGCCATCTGCTGACATAGAGGACAAAACTCTGAGCTTCAGTTCAGTTCATGGGAGTTCAGACTCTTCTGGGGCAGACACATTTTGAAATGTGCAGGCTTATTCAGGCCTACAGGCATTTTGGGGAGAGGATGTTGACAGATATTTGTCTGAAAATAATGTAACAGGCTAACTTTTGGTGCAGAAATGTTGCCAGCCATATTATTGTAAAGAATTGACTAATCTTTTATCATTAGGAACTTTATATATGTGTGTGTGCATTTTTAATAAAATATTTTGTGTTTTTAAAGTTTACGTCTTGGTATTGTTTCTTTATTTTTTGAAATCACATGTTTGAGTGGAAGAGAGAATCAGACTGCCCAGTAAAACATTGATCTTTCTTACGTTTGTAATGTTTAAAATAGATTAGCAACATCCGTAGGATTTCATGCCATACCTGAGGACTGAGCCTCAGAAGTTCTGTCAGGTCCCCAAACCCTTATTGTCTCCCTTCCATATATATTCTTGTGCTTTGCTTTGGGGCCTGCTGGGGGGAGGGGGGATGTTTTCTTTTGCTTGTGATAACTTTCCCTTTCTGCTTTCCTTCTTCTGCCTCTATCCACTTGAGAAAGGAATGTGTAAACTGGAGAAGACCATGAGATGCATGCCAACTGTACCAGTTACCTGCTCATTGTGCCACCTGTGGATTGGCTGGATTTCAAATGGACATTATGACTTTGGTGGGCGGAGGAATATTGCTGGTTTAATTATACTGTTGAAGCGGGATTTTCTCCAGATCTCGCCTTGACTTCCCTACTGTCACTAGCCCCTGATAAAAGTTTCCTTTTGAAACAATGCCTGTTTCAAGAGTTCTGCTTTCTCGGGTGGTTATTTGAGGTAGGTCCTTACATGTTCTTTATGCTTGGTGTCATTGGATTAGAACCCTTTCCTACAATTGCAGCTGGACAAAGTTTTTTTATTCCATGTAATTTACAGATTGCTATCTATACTTTTGTGAAGGTCAGTGTAACTGAGAAAGAATGGAACCCAAGTGTGGTTCCTTAAGTTGGAAGGGGAAGGCTGTCAAACCAAACATGTTATTACTTCTGACATTTGTACAGATGTTATGGTATAAAGTAAGTCAGCTGTAGCATAAAATCCAACTTCCTGATTAATATTGGAGTCTCAGCATATTTGCAATTTTACTTTTTGGCTTTTATCATAATAAAGGAATATTCCATGAGACCTTGCACGGATGGTGTTGCTCCATTTTTATTTCTATTCATTCATTCCATCAATTCCAGGTTTTCTTGTCTATGTATGGTTTGCTTCAGTAGCCCACTTATCATTGTCCTGGTTCCCCAACATCTGACACGCACTTTGTTAATCTGGGCGATGTCCATGTGTTTTCACTGTTTTTATGATTGTTCGCAATTCAGAATCATTGGTTTGAGATGGGTGGCTGTACAATCACAAACCCAAAGAAGGCAAAATGGAACAATTCTAAAAAGGCCTTCATGGAATGATGAAGAGGAAACAGGGCATGTATGGACAATGAAAGGAAAACATAATAAAAGAATACAATGCTGTCTTCTGAAACTATACAATGAGCTGAGGGTTCCAGAAGATACCAAACACATCCAAAAAAAGGATACTTTGGGTATGTTAGAAATAAATGGATAACTGAAGAAAGGTCCATAGAAGTTGATAGTGGGGAGCTGAATAGCCAAATGGTAAAGGATGCGCTAAGGCAGAAGTGGCTATCTCATATTTTGCATTTGTTTTCTCAGAAAGAAAATGGAGATGTAGCTGGTTGTGATTTTGCCACTATGTAAGGAGGGAACTACAGCCTAGGATAAGGTCAGAGAGAACTTAGCTACTTTAAATGAATTCCAAGTCTCCAGGGCTAGATGAATTAGATCCCAGGATGGTGAAGGAATACCTGGGGTCACCTGAAGTAGAGGTGATTGAACAACCACTCCTGGTAAATTTTGAGAGCTCTTGAAGGACTGTGAGGTCCCAGAAGACTGGAGGAGACAAATGTCATTGCTATTTTTGGAAAAGAGAAGGAGAACTTCAGGAACAACAGGCTTGTCAGTGAACTGCCATAGCTATAATGTTCTATGATAGTCTTTATTAAAAGGTAAAATAAGCTGGATATTCTACAGTTAGATGCGCTACTATTAGCAAGCTGATCGAATATGTCAATATAGTACTCATTAATGGTTCTACTTTAACTTGGGAGGAAGAATTAAGTGAAAAGCCACAGAAATGTGTTCAACATTTTTTGTAATGCCTTGGATGGCAGAATCTAGGAGATACCAGTTTTGCAGATAACACAAAGCTGCCAATAATGAAAAGAAAATCAAAATTATCTAGATGGATTTGAGAAGTTGATGGAAATCAATAGGATAGAATTTATCAAGGAGAAATGTAGGGATCAAATTCAAGTAGGAAAATATAAGGAAAAATATTGAAATCTGGCTTGTTACAAATATCCAGAAAGGGACCTGGATGTCTTTGTCAACCATAAGTTAAAAATGAGCCAGCAATTTGATGCAACTGTTAAAAAGTCAAATATTAAATTGGAAAGCATTAACAGTAGAAGAGAATCCAAATTGCAGGAAGTAATTGTTCCACTCTACTCTGACTTAGAGCCTATTTGAAGTACTTGTCCTATTTCAGGGACTACAATTTAAAAAAACCCTAACAAATTGGAAAAGGACTAGCACTGATTACACCCTGGCAATTTCTTAGACCATTGAGTCTCTGCTGTTGCTGGAAACTAGAGAAGACAGTGCTAGCACATCAACATATTGTGTGAGGATATGTAGGAACATAGAAAGTTATCTAACAGCTCATTAGATTCTCTCATCAATAGTAGCCCAAATCTGTTTCTGACCAAAATCTCAGCCAGAGTTCTTTATCATCTGCTTGCTTCTTGATCTTTGGGCTAAGATTATCTTTAACGCAAAGCCTGTGCTCAATACTACTTTTCTTGAGAGAATTTTACTAACCAGGCTTATGTAAGCTATTTTATGTGAAAGCATATTACAAAACCTCTATTTCCTAAATTGCTGCTCTGTTACTTTCTGCTTTTCTTAAATACTGCATTTCCTTTCCTTTTCTTTCCTTCACCAAGCTCTGCAGGTCTCTATTTAAATCTATCAGCTTGTGCTTCCATTTTCCTCTTTTTCTGTGGCTAAATAATTGCTCCCAAGGTACTGATTTTCTTTATAGCCACTCCCTCCCACCTTGCCTGGGAAAGTTCTGCTACCTTGCAATTTGCCAGGCAGTCTTGTGGACTATTTGCTAACTAGCTCACCCCGCCCAGCCTCTTAGTTTCCAATTCAGTTACAACAAAAAGAGACAGTCACTCTCTAGTCTACAGTAGCACTGTTGCTTTTTTATTTTTCTCTGGAAGGCTCAGACACTGATTTGTTAAACAATCATTTCTCTAGAAAGCTTGGATCCTCCATTCAGGTTTTGTACTTTTCCTCTGTTACAAAGACCGGCAGCAGATTCTTCTAGTGAACAGCCATTCCGCCAAGACCTCACCACATTTTGCTCCAAATAACAACTAAAAACTTCCCATGAGCTGAGCTCCAGGTCTATATTTAAGCCCTTTGAGCCCACCTCTCACTTTCTAGAAAAGTGACCATATGCAGTACAAGGAGGAGGTCCTATGACTGATGATTTCCTTAGTATCTTAATTAAGTTCAAGGAGCAGAGAAATTAGGGAAGGAGAACATTTGTGTTGATAGAACACTGAAAGAATGGAGGACACAATTTTGTGCCCGTTTTTCTCAAGTCTTGAGTGAGACTTGTTTCTGAGTCTGCATATGCAGGATTAGTTTATAATGTGATAATAAGAGGTTAGGGAAAGATTGGAGATGTGGGTTGTGGAGCCAGAACCGTCAAGAATCAAATAATTGCAGCTCATTTTAGCTTTAGGGCATGCTTTGTGGGCTGAGAAAAGCATATTCAGCCAGGGTGGGGAAGGAGCAGCATTGGATTTTGGGCCACATGGCAATAGACTTTGGGCCTGTTTTAGAGGGCTATTTCCTGACTGCTAATAACAACAAGGAAATTGTGTTTTGAATCACCCTGTGGTAGAGAGATTACCATTAACTGCTGGAAGAGCAATCTTGTCTCAATATCCGGATTATGGCTGATTAGCAGGTGTGCAGGAATTTACAGGTAGATCTTGTTTACTATCTTATTCAGCAACCATTTGAAGCTCCAGTATAACTGTACTAAAAAAATAACTTCACGGTCAATGCCTGCATTTATGACTTTTGCAGTGTCCCTCAGTCATGTGATTGGCATTATAATTAGTATGCATTGCCCTCTGCCTGATCTGTTCCTTTTATTTTTCCCCCTTCCTTGCAGAGAAGACAGATTGGAAAAGAATGGATTAGAAGAGAGGAAGCAGACACACAATGGGAATACATATCAAAAAAGTATGAGGCAGTTCTGAACATGTTTGAGGCTGGGAGCTGCAAGCACACTACACAAACAGCTTGGTATATTCTCCATTCTGTGCCTAGTTATTCTCCTGTAATCCCTTCCTCTCCAATATTTATGTTCTGCTAGGAGAGGGGAGGAAAAAGCTGGTCAGATATAAGAGAGATTGCCTACTGCCTTAGTTTTTTTTTTCTTTTTTCTCACCCCAGAGTGGAAAGATTGCATAAGCGCAGGAGGGAAAGTGGGGGGGGGGAGAAAACCAAACAATCTCTGTAGGCAATGTCTCCTGTGCTTGACCCATTTTTCCTCTTTCACAGAATGGAAACTTTGGAGATGAAAAGGATTACAGGGGAATAAGCAGGCCTATAATGGGGAACGCCCTCTCTGTTCACATAGAATGCATCCAGCTCCCAGCCCTGAATTCATTCTGTGCTGCTAGTGCCATTGCATTACTTTTGATATATATTCCCCACCAGCTTGTATGCCTGCCTACTCTCTTGTAATCCCTTCTTCTCCAATGAATGTAAATACAGACACTAATTCCCTTCTTGCTAATTATCCCAGCACTGGGGTGAGTATTCCAAAGGTCAGGGATGGGGAAAAGAAAATCACAGATAATTCCTGCTTAATATTAAATGGTTGCTAAATGAGCCACATGTAGCCTGTGGTCAGCAGATTCATGGGAGGGGAGTGTCAAAAGAAGCTAAGATGGCAACCCTGGCAATGTAAGCAGAATCAGAATAACAAGAGTTGGAAGGGACCTTGTAGGCCATCTAGTCCAACCTCCCCCCCTGCCCAAGCAGGAG